ATTTGTTACTTTATAGATTTAATAGATATTTGTTGTTACTTTATTAACGTTTTTACGCTTATAAGTAAAAACGGCTGCTGCTATGATTTTGTATTGGTTTATGAGCTCCTTTCTGACCTAATTTAGGATCTTCTTTTTAATAAATTCTTGAAAATGTTAAAAAAGAGAGAGGGAGCCCGGGGAGGATGTTTGCCTCGGGGCCCGTACTAGCTCTCGACGTTCCTGGCTCAACATCTAAAAACTTTGAAATAATTTCATCCCAAAAAAGATGGAGGCCTACCTACAGATAGCACTTGGATTACAGAGATATTTTTCTGCAGTAAAATACCAACAATAAACAGATACTGCAACAGAGTGACGTAAAAATTCAACCAAACTGATTTTTCCAGAAAGAGAGTCATTAGGTAGCATCATGTATCACTCAACTATCAGCACTCATTGGCCATAGTACTGACTGGTTCCACATACACATACAAGTCATGTGATTAGAATAACACCGAGTGTTTAAAAGATGTGCTTTCAGAAATATTATACCAATATGTTTTCAATAATAACCTTATACATTCATTAACATAAAAAACAAATGAAATATATATATCTAATAAATTTTCTTTGTACAGCTCCAATAAATATCAAAATCTTTAATATCACTGCTGTTATTGTGACAATAAATACACAAATTCTTACCACATCCTTACAATCCCTACAAGCAGGATAGTTGTTTACAATGTACTCTGCTACGTCAAAATGCCCGTACATGACGGCCTTATGTAGGGGTGTGGCCCCTAGCTGGTCACGACCCATGGCAAGATTCTTCCTGTCTAGCAGTGACTGGACATCACGCAAACGACCTCTCGCTACTGCCCGGTGAATTTCATTGATACGTTCCTAGTGTAATAAAACATAATTATAGATTTAAATTTCATAAATAATTTCTTGTATGAATTTTATACATTAGGATACCCCAATTCTAACTGGTAACTTTTTTTTTTTCTAGTAGCAAACAAAGAACTTATTTTTGAGGTCCCTTGGTGGACCATACTGAGTCCACTAGCATACGTTCAGAGTCAATAACAGGAACTACAATGGATGTAAACTAAAAAAAAGATGAAGGAATGGTCAATAAGTTATTTAAATTTGCTGTCAATATTAAAGTTTTGGGAGCTGCTGGCTGTGAGGATGCTGCTGTTTTACAAAAGGATTTCGATTATTTGGCGAGTTAGGCAAATAAATGGCAGATGGTCTTTTAATTATTATAAATACAAGGTAATGCATGGGCGGTATCACAGTTTAAATTATGAGTATAATTAGCAATAGATTCATTCAACGGGAATCAAAGTTTAATGATGAACAACAGGACAATGGCAGCAACAAGAAACATTTGACATATGTATCTTCAGTAACAAACATTTGACATATGTATCTTCAGTAACAAACATTTAATTCTTGAACGTTTTGGAATATACATATTCCATCTTCAGCAAGCTATACTGAACATGGTAAATTATTAGGTACAGACATTTTATAAAAAGTAATTATAATACAGAATAAAAGGATGAAATAAATTAAGAGACAACCAAATAAACAGAGAATAGAATAATGTAACAATATTATACAAGTGTACAACCAAATAAACAGAGAATAGAATAATGTAACAATATTATACAAGTGTACAACCAGATAAACAGAGAATAGAATAATGTAACAATATTATACAAGTGTACAACCAACTAAACAGAGAATAGAATAATGTAACAATATTATACAAGTGT